CCCCTGTGCCAACTCCTAGCCCTGTAGGTGAACTCTGCAAAAAAAATCGATAAAAATCGGTAAAATCGACATCGATCGATAACGAAAAGTGGACTGTGACACCCGCCGGGGCCCGAAGTGTATGTGTGCCAAGTTTGGTCCGGATACGGCGGAGCCGGGTAAGCCAGCTAGTCTTATATATAAAGCTGAATGTCTGTTTGTCTGTATGTATGTGTGTATGTATGTATGTATGTCTGTATGTACGTATGTTCCGAATAGAAAATTTTATTTCTTAATCGATCCGGACCAAACTTGGAACACATACACTTCGGGCCCCGGCGGGTGTCATAGGCTACTTTTCGTCATCGATCGATATCGCTTTTATCGATTTCTATCGATTTTTTTTGCGAAATTCACCTACGGGGCTGGGAGTTGGCACAGGGGGGTAATCGAGCATGGGGATTCCGAATACAATATTGGTTTTCAGGATTATCGATTACTTTTATCGATTTTATCGATTTTTTTTTGCAAAGTTTGAGCTACGGGGCTGGGAGTTCGCACAGGGGGGTAATCGAGCATGGGGATTCCGAATACAATATTGGTTTTCGGGATTATCGATTACTTTTATCGATTTTATCGATTTTTTTTGCAAAGTTTGAGCTACGGGGCTGGGAGTTCGCACAGGGGGGTAATCGAGCATGGGGATTCCGAATACAATAAATACAATAAGTCGTAAGTATATTTATTAAACCAAGACTGGAAATAAAACCCCACCTTGCAGCACTCCACTCAGCATAGATCGTAGACTAGAAAAACTCTCATTAACTCGGATTCTAAATGAGCATTCATAAAAAAAGGCCTCAATCCAAGATATAACCTGGGGATGAATGCCAATCATTTTTAACTTGATTATAAGCTTAGTATGAGAAACTTTATCAGATGCATTAGTAAAATCTAAGTAAATGACATCAACACCTTTGTCTGCGTCTACTGCCCAAGTCCAGTCATTCAGCGAATGTAACATCACCGTAACCGTTGATTTGCCTACTTGAAACCCATGCTGAGCGTTAGAAATGAGCCACGAATAGTTAGATGCTTCACTATTCTTTTCTCTAACACTTTTTAAACAATCTGGCAAAGAAGTAATGCTAATAAGCCGATAATTTTGGGGGTGGGGGTGAGGCTTCTTTAGGTATAAGAATTATAGACGATATTTTCGACCTGTATGGAACTTCTGCTCTAACCAAACTCAAGTTAAATATGAAGCAAGGGCTTCGCAATGACATAGGCAACCTTTTTGATGAATCGAAGAGGTATGGTCAAGAGTCAAAGATTTTGATTTTGGCTATAAACGAAAAAAGTTCAAAATTTCACTATCATCGAAAAATACAGGGTCCATAGCCCGAGGTCGCGCGGTAACATTTTCTAGAACACTTGATTCACCTTTCTGAAAAACCTTTTCGAAGATATCGGCAAAACACTCTGAGTTTACATCGTTGTTCGTTGCCATCCTCAGGTATCGGCCAGTGTCCAACTTCATATCCAATGTCATTCAAAGGTCTCAAGCTGGCTTCAAGCGCTTTGCTGGAACTATATTCATAACATTTGGAGAATTGAACAGCGGTCTTCCTCGTTTTGTTGCATTTGCGTAACCAGAGAACACTAGGCCTTCGGCACTTCCACAGTAATTGCAGCAAATCTTTTCCAACTTCGCCCTTCTTTTTCAGGTCACGCTGTTACTCTAGCCATGAGTTGCACACTGCCAAGTTGAAATAATGGAATATGACGCGTAATGTCCATTTCTTCGAGTGAACAGAGGTGCGATACAGTGCAATCAAAAAATCATTATCGACTCCTCCAATGGAACTGTTGTAATATCGTACGACCAATGGACGTGTAATCATTCTGTATTCACAGGCTTTCCCCATCCCATCTTTTCATCTCATCTTGCGGAGCAACTCCCACGAAGCTTGACGCGACGTTTACCACCTTATTATCGTACCAGCGAACAGCGATAATTTTGCCGTCTTCAATGACGAAAGAGTCAGAACTGCCTCGGCCAAATTTTTGCGGCTCCTTTTCCGACTTCAGGGGGCACTTTTGCAATCTGCTATTTCGTACTAGTCCTGCGCTGAAAAATTCCTCGCGCCAATAGTTCGCGTAGTAGCAGTGATGTGAAGTAGTTGTCACAGAATAACTTGTGGCCACGGTGATTTGGAATTTGCTTCGAGATGAATGATCAACCCATTTGTAGCGGAATATCCTTCAACCAGATCTTCAGGAAGTGTAGTTGAGCCTTGATATACAACCGAGCGGAAGAGTATGCCAGAAGCACCGCAAAGCATAAATACTTTGACCCACGGGTTCGACTTGCCTTTCATACAGTTTGATGATAAGCTCTTAAAAGGTATGATTGATCCGTCTATGCAGAGGTTTCTTCTAAATCCAGTTGTTCGCAACGATTTTCAAACAACGAAATTATGGGACGAACCTTCCATAGTTTATCTCGCTGGTCGTGGTCGGCACTGAAATCAACAATATGGAGGTTATTGCGCAAGTACAAGAAACGGGTGCGCGGAAGATTCAGCTTGTCGAAAAATTGAATTCTTATGGCTGGTGACCAATACATTCGCAGTCTAGGGCATTGAACGACTCCCACCAGTGGCCGTATTCATCAATGTTACCCAATGGGTTATCCTACTCAGTGGGTAGGCTCAACCCACGAAAGCTGTATTCACGAAACTGCTGGGTAAGCGAGCCCAGTGGGTTAAGTCTACCGCTGGGTAGGCTATCCCTCAAATGCCGCCATACCGGTAGTCACGAACAGCTTCAATGGGTTAGCCTACCCATTACCGGTATTCACGAAACAGCTTACCCAGAACTTATGGGTGCCGATACCCACGTGTCGTGAGTTCGCCTTACCCAAGCACACAACGAGAATCGCAATGGGTAATAGGCGGCGTATCAGGATCCTCCAAAGGCTCGCCGCTTCTTCTCCAGGCGCGCCTCTAGGAGGCAATAATCCCCTCGCGCCTACCTCGCGCTTATGTCGCACTTGTCTCGCACATTCCCGCGATAGTTCCCCACCGGACAATCGTCTTCTTTCTCCTAGCATTAACTAGAAAGGTCATAGCTTGAGCAACGATTTTCCAATAACAAAAGATGAACAGGTGAAAGTCTCAGTAATCAACAAACGGATGTGAAACATTCGGTCAGCTCAGTCGAAGTGAATTAGAAAGGTTGTTATTTTGTAGTCGGAAAGGTTACTGCATCAACGATTTGTCAGTAACATACAAAAAATGTGGAAACTAAGCTGACTGACAGGCAAATACATCCCGTTGTGGCTATCGAGATGTGGTAGATAAAAAGAAGCAAACGGTGATCATGTGTTTTCCCACCAGGGGAGCCAAATTATGAGCATCTCTTTGGAAATATACAGCTTCAAAAACACATTGTACATCATTTTTTGGCAGTTCATTGGGTCCGCCATACCTAATTTTGTCTTTATGGGAACCGACGCTTCAAATGGGGTATGTAATTCAGCAAAACCACAATCACAGAAGAAATTGCTGAAACCTCATTTATAATTGATTCCTCTCTTACATGCCATGTTTCTGCAAAACTTCCATGTGGGAAAAGTTCTGAGCTTCTCTTATTGCCAGATTGCACTCTGAGCTATAAAATAACTTCCACAAAAAGGATGCAGACTCGATTAAAAGACTTGTTGAGCACCGTACATTCAGTCTGATGTCATCTGTACGTTTTCGACTATTTCTGGCCATGCTAGTGTCCACATACCTTTTCTTTCTGAGCTACACTCTCATATTAAATACGAAAAAGCCATACTTCCTTTGGAGGAAGTTTCACAGATACAAAAGTCAGCATTTCGTGCTCTATATACTATTGGTGTGCAAACTTCCAAATTGTCACTTCAACTAAGTTATTTCCCTGTTAAGAGGCACTTTCCTTGTCAGCCTACTTTTATTACTGTATTAGTTCCCACAGCTTTTGCTTTTTCTTGTTATCATTGAAAAATCGTTATTCAGGCGGTGACCTTTCTTAATGCTGGGAGAAAGAAGACGATTGTCCGGAGGGGAACTATTACAGGAATGTGCGAGACAAGTGCGACATAAGCGCGAGGTAGGCGCGAGGGGATTATTGCCTCCTAGAGGAGCGCCTGGAGAAGAAGCGGCAGGCCTTTGGAGGATCCTGCACGCCCTGCTGGGTAACAAAGGAAAGTGACCATTTTTTTAATGTTAAAAAAGTTTTAGGATGCTGCAATGGCTATGGGCAGTAGTACGCCAAATGAGAAAACCACTAAATCTTATCTAGATATCAAAGCCTTTTTTGATATTGAAGAATAGTTTTTGTAGCAAAGGGCCAATTTGCTATCTCACCAAAAAAAGAAACGGAAATACCAGCGTCATACCTTTTCTCTAAAAAATTCAAGGTATTTTTCCAAAAATTCAAGAGGACTCCCAAACAGACGTTGCGAAAAATAGATGTTGAGCGAGAATGAGAATTTATGATTTTAAGAGGTTCGGGGCTTCATTCTTAGATAGCGCACTTACGAACTTCAAGCACGTTTCACCCAGTGAAAGTGATTTACAACAAAAGAAAAGAGGTGGAGTAATTTCGCGACTGCAAGTAAACATGTGTGATACCTATTAACTTGCACAGTGACAATGCAGACCTACGCTCTGAGTTAGTTAACTCAGCGGAGATGCGTAGTGGAGATGTTGTATATACATAGACATTAAAAAACACAAAAACGTGAAGAATGGGCACGGGAAGTACGTCAAAGCGTGATTTCAATAGAGTCAATGTTCATGCTGCTGATGTCAGCGCTGCTGGGTAAGCTAACCCAGCGGCGGAGGCGTTCGTGAATACCGACCATGGGTCAGTCTACCCAATGAGTAGGCGAACCCAGTGGGTAAGCTTATTCACTGGGTAGGCTAACCCACTGGGTTCGTTGATGAATACGGCCACAGGATATGTGCTCGGACAATCTTTTTGATCTCTTAAACCGATGCGTCGATACATTTACCATTTGTATGTACTGGATACGTGTTAGTCTTCTCCATCAATTCAAACACGGAGTTGGGAAAGTATTTGAAAAAGTACGCAAGAGGCGTTGGGATATTTTCTTCTTCAGATCTAACGTCATCGAAAGTTACGTCTGGTGGTGTAAATCTGTTCCTGGCCCATTTCAAATTCTTCATGTTCTCTTCCCGCAATTTCCCAGCTAGTGCAGTTAAACGAATCTCGTCTAATTCAGGAAACTCGCAGTCGTCACTGTCTTCTTCGATTTCCCCATCTTCGTGCTCCTCTTCATCGGTCTCTTCAAGTTCTCCGAAGTCCTCGTCGACATCATCTTCGTCGGAGTCGTGAAGAGCTGGTGACGCGGCTACAGCTTCCCTCAAGATGATTTTCCTTTACATGTCCGCTAGGTTGTAGAAGCTCGTCGGCGGTCCGTCTTCTGAGAAAAGAAAAAGAAAAGTTCCACTGAAGCCCTTTGGTGGCAGATGCGTACGGCGATTCTGAAGGTTATGGCAAATAGCCAAAACATGTAGACTCACAAACAACTACCATTCATTTCTCTAACAACCTCATACCAAACAGTTAAAATAGTAGTATGAATAAAAACTCAATGGTCTGCAAAAAAAATTTACACTAATCTGTTTGATTGCCAGGCCGAGCGCGATCCATCGTTCCTTCGTGCACGAATGCTTTTGACACTGGGTGCAGAACGAACAAAAATTCGAAAGGATGCGCAGTCAGAAAGCAATAGGCCATTTGAAAACCGCAATCGGGAATGCCAGGAACATGCTGTAACGGCGTTGCTGCAGTCCTCTAAAGCTGGTGGTGGTAATTGCCACCGCCAGGTCCCAAATGGTTACAATCACTTACGGTGGGAACTTTGAAGAGGGTTTTGAGCTATAGGGGCCTCATTTTGGCTCAAAAAACAAATCAAGCAACCCTGAAAAATACAATAGGATAATTTAAGTTACTTATTCTGAAAACGAAGTTTGCACGTTCCATAATGCTTGACTGATAAGTTATGCCAAGTATACCCTATTAAGCATCTCCGAAGTGTCTCCCCAATTTTCCTAGGGAATGCAACGTTTCTTGAGAAGCCTTTGATGCGTGTAAAAATAAGTCCCTAATACCCAGCTTTCCAAATTGTTTGAATGCTTTTCAATTATTTCAATGCTTTTGCGGCGAAATCATAATGGCGCTGTCTGCTAAAAATTCAACCGTAGTAATGCAGTAATTAAGACAGGCCGAAGATTTGCTCCGTATTTTGGATCTAAATTGAAGCCAACTCTGGATATAGTGCTTAGAGGAGCTTTTCATACAAGAGAATTATCAAAAATAAATTCGCTACAATTTTTTGGACGCCCCGTAGTTGACGTAAGGTCCCAAAAGTAGTGCCGACCGCTCCTCTTGACATACCGATTTTTGAGAGCTGACGTATAACATGTGATCATCAAGTCACCACTTTAGCAAACTGCACGCTAAAGCGCACATAGTGGAGGAACCAAAGGGCTGCCGCATGTATCCGCAGGAGATAATAAAGAGCGCGAGCGTTGTGGAGATTATTTTGGCAGGGATCCCAAGTAAACTTGGCAAGGACATCCTTAAGGAACAAATCTTCACAACTTTGCCTGCAGATGACTTTGAAAAATTTAAAAAATAGATTTGTGACGCAAATTGGAAGGCGCATTCACTATGCCTGAATTTAAGTGAAAATTGGGAATTGCAGGGGTAAGAAAAGTCAGCCTCCTTATAGAAACTTTTTACTTTGAATTTTGAAGGTTCAGATTGTTGAAGACCGGGATTTTCATCCAAAATTCATTCTTTTTTCCTTAAGATAAAAGAGTAGTCTGCCTTTTGTGTCAATGAACCAACGCAATGAAAATGTCATAAAAACACATCTGGAGCTTGTGTCAAGATGCAGTATGCAGTTTGTCTCATAACTTCTAGCCTATCTAATTCTGAATTTTGACATTAGAGATTTCATAGAATTCGCCATTGAAACTATTTCGGTAATCCTTTCGAGGCGTACACAATAGCAAAGGTTCATCATCACATGCAATTTAGTTGACATTATTTCCAGACTACTCCCTACTTTCATCTTCGAATCCAGAAGGTTTACTAAAAAAAATTCGCTTAAGATCTTCCTCACAGCACTGAACTCAAAATTCTTCAGCTTTTAATGTTGGAATTTAAAGGTGGTTTTTGGTTGAAAATAGAACTCGAGTAGCGAGGCAGAGTTGTTTATCTATCCGGTAGGCTTATTACTGAAAAATGCGCATTTCAAAACTGATTCCAAATCTGTCCTTCGTATCTTTAAAGGTTAATTCCAAGCAGAGTCATAAGGATTTGTTTCTAAACAGGTGTCCTCGCCAAGCCTTCCTGGATCCTCGCCAACCCAAATATGGGTGTATGCCCTTCTGAACCGCTTCGTCCTAACGTTAATTACTCCGCCTTTCTTGTAATCTATCAGAGTTTTCAGATATTTCTGAGCATTCCAAAGAAAGCGAGGCACACAAATAATGATAGTGACGATGTTTATATAATGAAGATAAAAAGTTGGAAAAGTTTTTTTTCACTGCCTTTCATGATTTCTTCGCCTTCCCATTTTTCAAAAACTATGAAGTCTGCACGTGTAAGCTGAAGAATTTACTTAAGCAGCCCATGCATAACATTTTTGAGTTTCATGGGAAATCGAAATCTTGTTTTACTCTTTTTATCATGAGAATGCCTTTGCAATTCGGATGTCTCTAATAACAGCATAGCTCTCGCTTACTCAAGCGCCGCGAGCGCCGACCAATCAGAGGCGCGCAGTAATTAGGCTACTAATGCTAGCATATACTCCACAGAGCTCGCGCTCCTAATTATTTCCTGCGGCTGCAGGCGGCAGCCCTTTGGTTCCTCCTGCACCGCATCCAGCGTTTCCAGCTTTAGCGGAATCTGCTACAGAAGTTCAATTTGAGAGAGGAATTCGGAGAAAACCCCGCTTTTGATAGAGAATCGCCGTTCTACCAATTTTAATGGGAACAGAAGAGTCTGATTTGACCTCACAGCAAGATACAAGAGCGGAAAGGCGGGGCCGCGAGCAGTAAAGCCTAGCAGGAGCTGAAGTGCTGAGCAGAATAGAGCCAGACCTTCCGCCAAGTGACCCAGTAGAACCAAGTGATAACTTTAACCCTGCTGGAGGGTCAAAGCTTTATACCCTGTATTGAGTTTTATAATAGTTTGTAGTTCTAGATTACTGCTGGCTTAAGAGCATGTGTTGTTTCTGTAATTAGGATAAAAGCTGTTCTATTACTTTTTGCTGGTCTTTCAGTGTACGGTAGAAGCCTTTCAATACCACTAGACACTCTCCCTGTTACATTTCTACATTTCTGCGCTATTCAGGTACATAAATGAAGGTGACCGATCAGCCTAAGTAAGCCGAAAATTCTCAGTTTGACAACTTGCCGACGGTGTCTCTAAAGCGTTACCGATATCGCAATCGAACCGGCGTGTTGAGAAGCCCTCCAGCGAAGTTCCAAGCAAACTTGGAACTCCAACCTACTTACTGTATACCCACCGAACCACAGAAATGGCTTTAACATAAACCCCTCATTTTCATGACCCGCGGAGAATTTGTTGCTGAAAGCGATTGATCCCGACGAACCAGCAGCTCCACACATTACAAACAATACAGATTTGTGCCAACTATCCATGCAGGATGGAGCCTATCGGCGATATATAGTCCCCTACGCGCTTACACGTATTCTGTGATTTTGATCCCGTATCATAATCGCATACAGTCTGCTCCAATTGAGATCAGGCCGAACCGTCGGCGTAAATTTGTGCGCTCGCAGCGCTAGCGGTCTGCGCTGCATATGCGCGCTGTCGGAGAGAGCAGAAGGATTGAAGAGAGAGCAGAGAAGCAGGCCGTGGGCGTGACCGCGAAATCTAGCGAAGCGGGCTCCCGCCATGCCAATTTTGGCCTGGTTAGAAATGGGGCAGACTGTAACCTCACCAAGGCACTACAGCGAAAAATGTGTCCGATATTCGTGATCAGCACACAAATCACTGTGACTTCTAACAAGGGAAGCTTGTTTAGTGAAGTGGCCTTTCTAAATGAGATGTGTACCATATTGAAGGGCATGAAACGCTGACTCCAAATCTGCCTTCCTTATCTGCAGAGCGTTTATGCACGAGAAGTTATGAGCGTTTTTAAAGCCAAAAATTGAACTGCATTTTGGATAAAATGAGTTGCTAGAATCTTACTAGCCCTTGAATAATGCATCCAAGTGTCATATATTTTTTATATGAGAGTATTTTGTAAAGAAAGTGCTCTGAGGCTCCCGCCAAAGTGCCGAAGTTATGCCAGCGCTACGCCAGCATTTCGATCGATACACGTGTATTTCGTTGGGGCGGGGCTAGCTGACGTCCCCAACGAAATACACATGTATCGATCGAAATGCTGGCGTAGCGCTGGCATAACTTCGGCACTCTGGCGGGAGCCTGATGATTATCAAGAGCTAGAATATTTATACTGACTCGTGAGTCAGTATCTTCACAGGAATGCGGAGAATCAACGCGAATCACAGAATCACAGAATCACAGAATCACAGATAGCTAATGTGTGTGATAGTTGTTATGAGAACAAGGCTTTATCTCTTTGAGTTGTTATGAGAACAAGGCTTTATCTCTTTGCTTCACAGACATTCTTTGTATATGTTTATGTGTTTGCTGTATATAAGCTAGCGGTTAGAGATGGCTCACTGTCCTTTTTTGCTTTCTTATTTGTTTAGCCTTTTCTCTGCACGACTCATTGCACGATAGGTTCTCCGCACTACATCGTCTGTAGGTAGTCACAGTCACAGTCACAGTAACATCAGTTATCATGTAATTGTACTTAGAATAAATAAATAATAAATAAATAAATAAATAAAAGAATAGTTGTAGGATTTAGTTTAGCACCTTTGCGCATTATTTGTTATTTGTTAGTCTTAATAAAGGTTTAATTACCCAAGTTTGAGGTAACACTCGAACCGACTCGCGCACGTCCTCAAAGTCCCGCGTGGCAAGCTAGAGCGATACACGTGTCAATTCAAGTGGTGCATCGGCCGGGAATCGAACCCGGGCCGCCCGCGTGGCAGGCGAGCATTCTACCACTGAACCATCGAAGCACAATGCATTACAACCATTGTGCAAGATCAAAGAGATCATCCTGTTCACAGATTCGGAGATTGTCCTGGGATGGATAAAATCGTCCCCATCACGCCAAAGCGTGGGAGTGCTGATAGCAAATCGCCTACAGAAAATAGGAAGAATTGTCAACGATTTGGAGGAACAACACGTACACTGTCTTTTTGGACATGTGCGCACCGTGGAGAATCCAGCGGATTGCGGAACTAGAGGCTTGACAACAAACGCCCTACAAGATTACCTTTGGTGGCAAGGCCCAAATTTGATGCACGAGCACGACTGTAGCGATCTCACACCGTTTGGTAATGTGAGGGATGCAGACGAAGTAGTGCTGGCGACATCACAAGTGACGCCAAAAACAAAAGCAACAAAGAATTCGCTGCT